AGCCCCCATCATATTATATGTATAGTTGGGGTTATTTTTTCCAATGTGCATTACTTTACACTTATCCACATTAAACTTCATTTGCCATTTTGTTGCCCAATCACTCAGTTTTGTGAGATCTTTTTGAAGTTCTTCACAGTCTGCTTCTGTCTTGACTATCTTAAACAGTTTAGTATCATTCGGAAACTTTACTAACTCACTGCTTGCCCCTTTCTCTAGATCATTTATGAATAAATTGAATGGGATTGGTCGATGTCCCTGTAAACCTCATTCTGAGAGGTAAATTTAAAATTTACCATTTATTCCTACCCTTTGTTAAAAGACAGGAAACAAAGGGTAGGAATAAATGGTAAATTTTAAATTTACCTCTCAGAATGAGGTTTACAGGGACATCGGAATAACGAGCCTGAAATAATAGGCTTGCTGTGAAGACATGGGATAGCTATTTCAGGATACTCTGGTGTCCTGAAATAGCGTTTCAGTGTGGATGTACCCTAACACTGCTGAAATCATGTGCTGAGAAATTGTGCTTTGAATGGGAAATAGCTTGTTATGTTGGACATTAATCAACATTTTATCTTTATGTTTTCTTGTAACCACTTATGTCTTTTATGCCTCATTCTTCACAGTCAATTAAAATCCATCTCTTTGTAGTCAATACACTTGTTTTCCTGTTTTTATCTAATTTATTGTGTTTAAATGGAAATGTCTGAATAGCTATTTGAAACGACAAGCCCTTTAAGGAATAACAGACTTAAAATATTTGTGCACTGCCCTGGAGAGGGCTTGGCAGTACCATACATACATTTCTGGGGAGATATATGGGACTGGAGGTACCCTGGGGTCACTGAGGTTTAACCATGGCTAGTGAGAGACAGAGTGTAACCCAAGTGCAGCTGACAGGCTGCAATTACAGAAGTTTCTTCCTTTCTAGGTGCATTGGTTTTTCTCTGTATATTGGGGTGATGATGCTGACCCCTTTTGGGAAGTGCAGGGCCATCTGTGGGTAAGATGGGTTGTGCAAGAAAAAACTGTTCTTATTGAAAGACAGAGATGGCCTGCAGGCTGGAAAGCTGTTTGTGAGAGGCCAAGGTGAGAACTATTTCACCAAGGCATTGGAAAGCACCAGGAGTTTCAGGGCAGGGGTGACACAGTTCCACATTAATCTAGATTGTACCCCGGCATGTCACATCCACCTCAGGGCCTTAGAGGCCAACGGCTGGAAGATGCAGAGAACTGTTCTGCAAAGTCTTTGAACTAACAGCCTCCTGCTGTTCTGGCTTTGCAGAGAACCTGGATAACGTGACCCAAGTATGCACCCAGTGTGGGGACATCTGCCTGGCTCTGCCGAGAGCCTGAAGCAGTAACTCGGGGTAAATGTGCCATGCATTTCAATGGGTGCTAACTCAGAGCATACCAACCTTTGGCTATGTCTAGACTGGCATGATTTTCCGGAAATGCTTTTAACGGAAAAGTTTTCCGTTAAAAGCATTTTCGGAAAAGAGCGTCTAGATTGGCACGGACACTTTTCCGCAAAAGCACTTTTTGCGGAAAAGCGTCCGTGCCAATCTAGATGCGCTTTTCCGCAAAAAAGCCCCGATTGCCATTTTCACAATCAGGGCTTTTTTGCGGAAAACAAATCTGAGCTGTCTACACTGACCCTTTTGCGCAAAAATTTTGCACAAAAGGACTTTTGCCTGAACGGGAGCAGCATAGTATTTCCGCAAGAAGCACTGATTTCAGACAGTAGGAAGTCAGTGCTTTTGCGGAAATTCAAGTGGCCAGTGTAGACAGCTGGCCAGTTTTTCCGGAAAAGCAGCTGATTTTCCGCAAAAACTGGCCAGTCTAGACACAGCCTTTGTGATTGTTTCATCAAAGTGTGTAAGGAAAGCGGCGGGGGGTGGGGGAGGAATCAGCGTATGAAGAATTACAGGCTCGTTTGCTAACATGAGGGGCTTGTCCAAAGGACTGGGATAGAAGGGGCAAGGGTAGTGTATGAATACAGAGCTTATGGGGCAGGGGACCATTCTCATGGTCTTGAACGAGAGTTCAGCTGTCAATAATTCATTTGCATATCACCCACCCCAGGCACTAATGGCTCTCGTCAGACATTTTAAAACTCATGAGATTAGCCAGAAACCATGAGATTTATTTTTTTTTAAAAAAACTAATAATATCGAATCCCTGTAGAAGCCTGCTGGTTTCCAGGCCATGTTAGAAGGTTTTTTCTGCAGCCATGAAGGCTGCAGTCTGGAGCTGGTGAGGATTTCCCCCTGGGCTGATGCTCAGACAAAAGTTTCCTTCTGCAAAACTAATTACTGACATGAGAAATGTTCTGTTTTCATCAGAAAATTGCCCCTAGCTTCAGACTCCCAGCTCCTGAGCACCGTGGACAAGGACAGCCCCCATAAGATACATTTTCTCACACAGCTACACAGAAGTGACACATCGCTCCTAACGTATCAGGCTGCCTCCCTCTGACGTACCTAGCTACCACCCATTACCTTGTACATGGTGATTTGATCAAAACATGGCTATCCATCCTGCTGTCAAGCTGGACGCTGGCCTGAAGCAGGGCTGGCGTGTCCCTGTTATCTGAGGAGAGTATGGGCACCAAATGGTCTGTTACCATCCCTCTGGAATGTGCTTACGACTTGTGCCTAGTGCCTCTGAGGTACGAGTGTTTCTCCAATATCAGTCTTGTTCTTGCCATGTTCTGTGAGCTAGGCCTGCCTCTTGCTCACAGCTTGACTCTGCTTTATATTAGCAAAGTCTTGACCATGGTTGCTTAGGCCTCAGGCCTCATGCCAGGCAGCCTGTGATACATGGGCTTCTGTTTTAGGCCCTCCTCATCCTCCAGACATCAAAAATCAGCAAAGGGACGTGTCTGTTCCTAATCTATTGCCCACCTGGGAGAATGAGGTCAAGACAAGATCCGTAAACTACAACTTCCACAATATGCCCTCAGCAAATGATGTTCAATATCAAACTGACTCCAAATGAATCCCTGTGAGTCAGCTCAGCGGAAAGGAATCATTTTGATCTGGGCACGTTGAATCATGCAGTTTCCCCAGAAAATGTCGATATTTTGATTTTTCAGGGCAAAAGGTTCACGATGGGAGGTGAAATTCTGATTTTCATGAAGTTCTGATTCTAACTGAGACAAGTACGATGCTTTTCTGTGCTACCATTGTGAGCTCTTTGTGTAGCGTTGTGGGTCACAGTGATAGAGATGCAGCCATGTTAGTCTGGTGTAGCTGAAACAAGACAGGACTATGTAGCACTTTAAAGACTAACAAGATGGTTTATTAGGTGATGAGCTTTCGTGGGCCAGACCCACTTCCTCAGATCAATATGTGGAAGAAAATTGGCACAACTGTATATGCCAAAGTGATACAATCACAAAAATGAATGCATGTGAAATTGACAAATCAAATTTTAGAACAGAGTGGAGGTGAGGAGGGAAGGTTAGTTTCTGTGAGGTAATGACATTAGGGGTGATAATAGGGGAAGTTTCTGTGAGGTAATGACATTGGGGTGATAACTGGAGAAGCTATCTTTGTAACGGGTGCGATAATTAAAGTCTTAGTTTAAACCCATACATAAAGTGTCAAATTTAAGCATGAATGACAATTCTGAAGCTTCTCCTTGAAGTCTGGAGTTAAAGTCTCTTTGAATCAATATGCATGTTTAAGATAATTGAGGGAATGATCAGTCTGGCTGAAATGGCAGGCAACAGCTTTCTCTCTGTGCTAGTCTTATGTCTGTTTTGTGTGCATTGATTCTTTGGCGAAGTGTCTGAGACGTTTGTCCAATGTACATAGCAGATGGACACTTTAGGCACATGATGGCATAAATTATATGTCTGGATGAACAGGAATATGTGTTCTTGATCTTGTAACTGGCATGGTTAGGTCCAATAATGGTGTCAGCAGAGTAAATATGTGGACAAAGCTGGCACCAGACTGTGTGTAATTCCATGGGGGAGGGGGGTGACAGCTTCCCCCAGGAGCTAAGAACAATAGGGGGGCGGGGTGAGGTTGTCACGCCTCCAGAGAGGTACTCCTACCACCTGGGGAGGCTCCAGAGGCTAGTTTAATCTGGTTTCTCCAGAGACCACAAAGACAAAGAAAGGGCTAGGTTTATACGATGTAAGGCATCTGTAGTGCTTCCCATCACCATGTGTATTATGCTGGCACCTAAGAGCTCCAGTCATGGCGCAGGACCTCATGGTGCTAGGGGCTGTACACATACAGAACAGTCCCTGCCCTGTAGCATCTGAGCACCTTCCCTGGCAAACAGGTGAGCCACAGCTAAGACACTTTTGGGAAAACACTGATTGGACAAAATCTAAACATTTCACAGGACCATAGCAGTATTATCCACTTTTTCTACGGGCAGTTTTTGAAACGTTTCATGGTCATCAAGGCCAAACTTTTATCATTTTGAATTTTGTGAAAATTGTTAGAATTCATAATTTAATAATATGTTGCCTTTTATCGTCATCACGTTACAAGTTCTAACAAAAATCAAAATGGTAATGAAATGTTTCAACTGCAGACAAGCAAAACGATTCTACAAGGCTAACGCAAAATATTTTGGAATATTTCTGTTCCAGGAGAAAGTTCCAAGATTTTGGCTTTTCGTTCTGCTTCACTCCAGAGTCACTCCTGATTCACATCAGCATTACTCCTGGTGTACTTTATGTTTACCCTTGGCTTGCCCCAGATTATTGGCCTCTGAGTTACACCTGGTTCACAGTGGTGTATTCATAGCAGAGTTATGACAGTCTACATGAAAATTATCTGTTTATAATGGAATTACTCACAGTTTATGATGACACATTGAAGATGGATTTACTTCTGGTTTACGGTGAAGTATTTACAACAGGTTTACTCCTGGTACACAACACACTCACCCAATGGGCACCAATGTGCAAAGCAAAGCAAAATCAGACCTGATAATTGGTGTTTAAATAGCCAAGTAACAAATGCAGCAGAAACTTTACAAATTCACTCATTGGTTTTATATCCAACTCAGGAACGAAATTCTGACATCAGATGGGAAGTTCAGGGGATTTCCGGGGGATGCCACAGTCCTGTCTCCACCTGGCACTGGATTTTGGTCCTTTGCCTCATAGAAAGTATCTTGATCTTGCTCCTCCCCCTTTCTGGCTCACTTCTTAGCATCCAGTTTGAAGGCTTTGATCAGCACCCCCTGGGCATCAGCAGCCACCTCGTTCACAAAGCTCCTCAGCATCTTGTAGGTGGTGGCAAAGGACAGTGCTCCGGAGGCCAGTGAGCCCAGCAGAGGGACAGAGCTTAGCACCTCCTTGGCTAATTTAGGCGTCTCACTGCCTGCCTGCATCAGCAGCTGCACCACCAGCATGTTGGAGATCTCCATGGCCAGTGGTGACTTGATCACGGCCTTCAGCTGCTCCACTGGCTGCCCCATTTTTGCTGCCAGCTTCTCCAAAGAGTCTTCGTCCAAGCCAAAGCCCTTGCAATAACCTTGCAAGGTCCTGGCCAGGATGTCCACATTGCAGGAGATCAGGAGCCCTGGGATGGGTGCGGCATGGACACCACAGGCCACAGTGGAGACCAGCCACATGTGCTCCAACATGGCAGCCTTCTTCTTCTCCAGGATGTGCAGGGAGATGTTGGGCAGGGCCATCAGGAAGGCGTGCCGCTTGTGGTGGCTCAGCTCCCTCTCCAGTGTCTCCTCCAGGAGCTGGAAGTCGAACTTGCTGAGATCAAAGGCCGAGAGGAGGAAGACGCGCGGCGAGCTGATGCCTTGGGCCCGCAGACCCTCCAGGCAGTTCTGCCGGATCTCCTGCAGCACCCCTACCTCGCTGTAGCTGGATGGCCGGCGCCTGAGGGAGGAATCCAGGTCCACATCCACCTTGGAGCGGACAAAGTAGAAGCTCTTGTCCATGTCCTGGATGTGGCGGGCCAGCGCGGCGTGGTTGGCGGTGAAGCGCTGCGAGGTGATGATGAAGAAGATGTCATAGCGCGAGAAGCCGACCTGCTCCAGGTAGGTGTCGGGGTGGAAATCTGGTGTGCCGATCCCCGGCAGGTCCCAGATGGTCACGTTGGGGTACCGGGGGTGCTGGTAGGGATTGGGCTCCCTGGTGGTCTCCACCACACCAGTGCGGGCAGCGCCTGCATCCTCATCTCCCAGGCCCCGAAGGGCATTGACGAAGGATGACTTCCCAGAGCCAGTCTCGCCTGTGACCCCCACGTCCAGCGGGACATTCTCCAGTGACTCCAGCATCTCCTGCAGCCTGGAGGCCACTCCAGCGAGGTTCCCCTCCTCAAAGGCAGCTTTCAGGGCCTCCAGCTCCTCCTTTGACAGCTTGATGATGTCCCCACTGCTCTGTGAGGCCATGCTGGCTCCAGCAAGCTGCTGCAGCCCCTGCCTTACAAGAGGGAAAGGCCAGTTCTTGTGTGAGTTCCTGGCAATGCTGAACTGCTCCATCTAGTCTTTGTCTTTGGGCAGCTCCTCCCAGGGACCCAGCCTTATCTCAGCCTCCATTTTCTCTGCCCTGGCTAATGGCAGCCCTCACCCCTCTGACCTTCCAGAAATCCGCCCTGCCCCCCAGCTGAGATTCCCACCCTGGCCTGGGCTATTACAGCTCCTGCTGCTCCCCAGCTCCCAGACCTCTGCTCTTCTGGGACCCCCCTCCCAGCCTCCATCTGGCCTCCCCTCTTGCTTCCCAGAGCATAAGACACCAGCGTGGGCTGTCTGGGAGGGGGAAGATGTGGGCTTGAAGCAAGAGCAGTAGTGGAGCCCATGGGTAGGAGGTTGTCTGAGTATGACCCTATCAAATTGAGGGGATTAGATAGCTCAGTGGTTTGTGCATTGGTCTGGTAAACCCACAGTTGTGAGTTCAATCCTTGAGGAGGCCATTTAGGGATCTGGGGCAAAATTTGTCAGGGATGGTACTTGGACCTGCTGTGAAGGCAGGGGACTGGACTTGGTGACCTTTCAAGGTCCCTTCCAGTCCTAGGAGACAGGCATCTCCATTCATTAAAATGTGCAGCCATGAAAAATGTGACACTGACTGTGAAATCTGCTCTCCCTCCCCCTGAAATCTGGTCTTTTGTGCACTTTTACCCTGTACGATACAGATTTCAGCATTTCTCAAACTGGAGGTCCTGGCCCAAAAGGGGGTTGTGTGTGCACATGTGCGTGGGGGGGTGTTGTGTTGCAGGGCTATTGCAGGGAGGTTGCAGTACAGCCATCTTACGTCTGCATTGCCTTTGGAGCTGGTGGGTCGGAGAGCAGCAGCTGCTGACAATGTGCCCAGCTCTGGAGACACATTGAACTAAGGGGGGCAATACCAAACCAAGCTTCCTTATATCCACGCTGCTGCTGGTGGCAGTGCTGCCTTCCTGGATGAGTGCGTGGCCAGCAGCCGTGGCTGCCTGGCTGCCCAGCTCTAAAGGCAGCGCTGCTGCCCACAGTGGTGCAGAAGTGAAGGCCACCCCTACCACTGCCTTCTGAACCCGCCCAGGCTAATTTTGGCTCAGGACCCCCATGGTTACGACACCATGAAATGTTAGATGTAAATATCTGAAACCGTGAAATTCCTGATTTTTGTAAGTCTTATGACTGTAAAATTGTCAACACGGGACCATGAATTTGGTAGGGCCTTAACCATGTGACAGCTAACGAGCAAGCAGGAACCTTTCGCCAAGGCCAGTATCACAGAACGGGGAGCCCAATCAAGGAAGAAGTTGGTGACTCCCAGCCGACTTGAGAAAAGAAGGAAGCTGAGGGATGGACTGAAGAAAGATCCTTTGTTCTGACAGCTACAGAGCTGAAGGGAAGAGTCCCCCTGCAACGCTAACCACTAGATCCCACTGCCACCTGAGAGCTGGGTATTGACCTAGCCTCCTCGACCCTGTGCTCTAACCACTAAACCCTACTCCACTCATAGATGTACATTGACCCCAGGTTCCCCACTCCCAGCTCCTCTACTTCCCCACCCACCTGCCCTCCCCAGAAAGCTGGGGGTGCAGAGATGGCTTTGGCCAGGGTTGATTAATACACCAGAGAACCGGCTTTTGCTCCCAGCTCAGAGCAGCTTATTCCCATTCACACCGGGCTGGCTTCTGTCCCTGGATCTGCCCCAGGGTCACCAGCCTCTTACCCCCCAGGTGTGTCTGTGGGAGGGGAGAGGGGGCTGCCATGGACACATGATCACAGCTTGTAGCCAGAGGCTCATTGGCTGATGTCAGCGGCCGTGTGGCGAGCCACCTTGTTCATTGCTCATCTGCACCCAGGGGTTCAGAGGAAACTTTCCCCAGGCAGGACAGGGCTAAGCAGTAGCTCTGGCTTGGAGCCCCCAGGCCATGTACATCATGGCAGGATGGGGAGGACAGGGGGGAGAAGGGGCCTGGTCTATACCTGGACTCCATCTTGACACAGCGACATCGCTGGGGGGGGGTGAATCTCCCCCGAGAGCCGCGGTCAGGCCGAGCTGGCCCCCAATGACCACACAGCGAGGCTGGGGGAGGGTTTCTTCCTCCAACCCAGGCGCCTGGACAGTGCCACAACACGGAGTCTAGCCATGGCCTGGGCCCAGTTCTGCGAGGAGCGGAGATCCCACGGAGCCAGCTCCCTCCTCGGCAGCAGGTCCATGCTGCCCGCGGCCAAGGCGAGCGGAATCATATTCCTTTGGCTGCCACCCATGGACTGCGAGCCAGCCTGAGGCCCGTTCAAGGCCCGTCCGCAGGAAGAGAGGCCCATGGCCTGGCTGGGATGTTTCCTTTCACTTCCTTGGTTCCCTGTTCCTAGGTTGGCTGGTTGTCCCTCCCATTGTGGCCCCAGCAGGAGTGAGTGTCCATGGGACTGAGCACCCAGCCCCGTCACAGCACTGCCACACAACCATGCCCCACCCCCAGGGTGCGTTAGGAAAAGAACCCTGACTATGCCCCCCATCCAGTCCACACATGAGACATGAGGTAGGAGATCGGGGGAGGTAGAAACAAACTACAGTGGCCTTGGACCTCCAAGGCAGTAGTTCTCAATTGGGGGTACGCAGAGCTCTTCCAGGGGAGCATCCATTCATCCAGCTTTTTGCCTAGGTTAGGGGTGGGCAATAATTTTTGGCTGGGGGTCACTTCAAAAAAATTTGAAGTGCCGCGTGCTCCTTGCAAGGCCAGGGCAGGGTGAAGGAAGCTTTGTGCAGCTTCCTCGCCCCCAGGCCGTGATTGAAGACTGACCATTCATATGCACAACTAGAATATCCAGAATGATCCCAGTTCATGTGAACAAACACTCTTGATGTGATAGAACCCTTGTGGGATAGAAGAAACTATGCTAGCGGGAAGCACAATGTCTCACCACATATTTTCAGCAGTGTTACTGACCAAACTCTCAGATTAGAACCTCTCCACCAGAGTCTAACACTCGCTTCCTTTTTTACTTTACGTACAGAGCCTCCCCGCTATAAGTCGTCCAGGTGTACATCCATTCCACACTAAAGTTGTTGACGCTTGTAGGAACTAAGGTGTTACAAGTCCTCCCATTCCCCACTCATACGTCACACAAGTGGAAGTCAGCTGTGGGGAAAAAAATTCCCTGCTTTAAGTTGTTTTGCTATAAGTCCAAGTTTTTTGGACTTATAGCGAGGATGGCCTATACAGTGACTGTATTAGCCAGGGAGATACAGGAGTTATTTGGGGGTATTTGTACATATTTGTTATAATTTCAGCACCCTTCTTGAAAAACATTTGGGCTGTGTCTAGACTGCACCCCTTTTGCGGAAGAGGGATGCAGATTAGACACAGCGCAATTGCAAATGAAGCAGGGATTTAAATCTTCCCCGCTTCATTTGCATGAACATGGCTGCCGCTTTTTTCCGGCTCGGGGCTTTGCCGGCAAAAAGCGCCAGTCTAGACGGGGATCTTTCGGAAAATAAAGCCTTTTCCGAAAGATCCCTTATTCCTGATTTTAAGAGGAATAAGGGATCTTTCGGAAAAGGCTTTATTTTCCGAAAGATCCCCGTCTAGACTGGCGCTTTTTGCCGGCAAAGCCCCGAGCCGGAAAAAAGCGGCAGCCATGTTCATGCAAATGAAGCGGGGAAGATTTAAATCCCTGCTTCATTTGCAATTGCGCTGTGTCTAATCTGCATCCCTCTTCCGCAAAAGGGGTGCAGTCTAGACACAGCCCAAATGTTTTTCAAGAAGGGTGCTGAAATTATAACAAATATGTACAAATACCCCCAAATAACTCCTGTATCTCCCTGGCTAATACAGTCACTGTATAGGCCATCCTCGCTATAAGTCCAAAAAACTTGGACTTATAGCAAAACAACTTAAAGCAGGGAATTTTTTTCCCCACAGCTGACTTCCACTTGTGTGACGTATGAGTGGGGAATGGGAGGACTGCCAGGGGAGTGGGGTTTGGAACATAAGATTTCCAAACCCCACAGCCCTTCCTCTGCAAATAGGCAGACACTGATGTCTTTTGGAAAATGCAGGGAGCTCTGTAGCTAACACATGCTCTGCAAGAGCGAACCATTTGTGAAAGACAGAACAAAATTAAATAAATTGCTCTTGCCCCTTGACTGATTTGGTGGCCAGAATAATTTCTGAATTCTAAGGGCAGAGGTGCTGTTCGAATGAAACCTAATTAACACAGTTCCCGCTTTCATCTGCTTCCTTATTATAGCCTGGGAAGATCTACTGAGCTCAGACATCCTTCATGGCTTCACTGGGACCATTCATCTCCACCGTCTGAATCAACACTCAGCGGCCACATGCAAGCAATCGGTGATCAGTTGATAAGGCCAGGCCTGCCATGTGTTCATGTGTAAACATGGGTTCCCTGGCTGGACGGCAGAAGTTGCAATGGGGCATGAAGGTGAAAGATGAACAAGGTTTGACCTGCTCTAGGTGTTCCCTTGAAACCTGTCCCCCCAGCTCCTGGGTGTGTGGATAATGCAGGTGCTTGTTAGTTGTGTTTGCAGTTAAAAGGTAAAATTCATTCTCGGTGCCTTATTTAAGGGTGGGAGGAGGGTGCACCAGAGGAACAGCTCTGTCTCCCTCCGTAAAGAAGCTGCTTCAGCTGAAATCCACAGGTGGAAATCTCAGACCTGCAAACTACAGGCCAGGTGAGTCCTGGCCTTGTCCTCAGGGGCTACACTGGGTACGTCTACACTACAGCGCTAATTCAAACTAACTTAGTTCGAATTAGTTAATTCGAACTAAGCTAATTCGAACTAACGCATCTAGAACTAAAAACTAGTTCGAATTAGCGTTTTGCTAATTCGAACTAGCGCATCCACACTGATTGGACGCAGGGGCGCATTTAAGGGCAGCTGAAACTGGTTCTGGCAGGGCATCAGGTCAGTAATTGCGTTGTGTGGCTGCTGTCTGAGGCTATCTGAGGCTCGTGCTTAAAGGCATCCCCCTGGACAGCCGGTTCTCAGCTTTTCCTGCTTGCTTGCCAACCTCGCCGAGGGACAGCAAAGCGTTGGTCTCTGTGCCCATCTGTGTCGGTGCTTCCCTTCGGGGATGCCGCCACAGGTGGCAACATGGAGCCAGAGCTCGCCCTGCACCTTCTGGTGCACTTTCTGGACTTGCTGCTGCAAGCCTGCCAGCAATGGCTCGAGGCTCCCTGGCACCACCTGGTGCACGTCAGCCCCCTGCCTCTCCGCCTGGCCGCCCTGGGGGCCGTGAAGGAGCCGCGGCGGCGGCCCCGCCCCCGC